CACACACACACACACACACACACACACACACACACACACACACACACTGTTGTTTTTGAAGGCATTCAATAGCTGTCATCTCATTCACCATCTGTCATTTGTCCAGTGTCCCTGTAATATTTGATAAATTTGTCTATCCTTATTATTTAAAAATACTTCTCTTCATTTGAAATCCCCAACCATTTCAACTTTGATTTACTGTAACTCTCCTGCCATTCTCATTCATTCTTGTGTAAGTTCTGTTGCTGCACAGTACTCTAAGTATGGGTCTGACCCTGAGTGACCACTATCAGTTTGGCAAGTCCCAGTATAACCTGTGTCAAGTTTCAGGTTATGTAAGTATGCTTGCCAGGTTTACTTAAGCATAGCCTTTCTGAATTACTTTATCTTTCTGTCTCTGTTGCCTAATCTTTGAAATACAATTAACATTTTATTTTTAAAGTTTTGTGGTATTCATTAAATATCAGTACATGAAAAACTATTAAAATGCTTATTGAGAGACATGTGATGTACAGTTGTCAACTATTACTCACAAAATACTGAAACTCTGATGAAAAATATCTATTATATTACTCATTAAATACTACAGCCATTGTAAAGAAATTGATTTTTTAATTAAAATTTCCCCAAAGACATTTCATCTCACATTTCATCTAACACCATAGGAACATTTTTCTGATTTTATTTTGTATTAGTTTTTTTAGAATTTACTATGAAGTATTTTGGTCGTTTTCACCCCTGTTCGCCCTACACAGATCTGCCTCTATTTCCCAGCCCACTCAATGGTATTCTGCTATTTTATTTTAACCTATCAAATCCAGTTTGTGCTGCTCATATAGTCTTGGATCTTGGACCACCACTGGAGGGTAGTCAAACCACCCGTGACTGCACACTTAATTAAAGTAATTCTCCTCCCAGCGACTATTAGTTGCCAAGATCTGCTTAGCTAGAGATAAGGATTCCAGCAGCAACCCCACTTGTTCCTAGGAGTTTTGTCTGATTGTCTGGCTTGAGATTTCATAGGTCTTTCATGCTGTCTCAAACACTGAGAATTAAGAGGTGCAACTGCCTTGAATTTAGTATCATCTTTGGGGCTTCCTTGTCTAATAATGTTGCGTCAGGGCTCTTCTTTGATGTTTTTAATATCTGATTGTCTGAATGTGTATATATATATATATATATATATATATATATATATATATATATATATATATACTTACCCTACAGGTTCTTCCTTTATATATATTATGTCTTCCAGTTTAGTATTTTAATGAGATTTCTGATGTGTGAATGAGTGTGTCTCTGTTTATTGTGCCTTTTCTTGGGCCCTGTTCCTTCTGTTTGCTAAATTTTTTTCAATTGTGAAATGTTAGCTTTGGTTTTTTTATTATTTTCTTTTTTATTATAGAAGCCTGATTTTTTATATAAATTGAGAGATACAAAGGAGATGAGAGTTCAGGAAATAAGAAACTATGAGGAGTGGAGGAAGGAAATTATAATCAGGATAGAGTATGTGAGAAAAAAATATTTTCAATAAAAAGTATACATTAAAAGCTTCATATATCATACAGGCAAAAGTTGAAAGCTTGGAGGAGGGGGGTAGAGGAAATTGGAGAGGGGGAGAGAGAGGTGAGAAGGGGAGGGTTGGGGAGAGCTTGGGGAGTGGGATCTTTGAGATGAAGAAGGATGGATTTGGGAACAAAGAAGGAGATACTTTAATTGAGGTAGCCATTTTGGGGTTGGCAAGAGGCTTGACACTGGAGGGGTTCCAGGAGTCCAGCTGTCTGATCTTGTCCAGTAGTCAGAATGATGACTATCTTGAATATCACCATAGAACCTTCATCCAGAG